AAAAAAAAAAAAAAAAACTGATTGCTGTCAAGTCGGTTCTGACCCATTGTGACCCCATGCATTACAGAGTAGAACTACTCATAGGATTTTCTTGGTCATAATCTTTATGGAAGCATATTGCCAGGCCTTTCTTCCATGGTACTTCTGAGTGGGTTCAGACCACCAGCCTTTAGGTTAGTAGTTGAACACAAATCATTTGTACCATCCAGGGATCACCTATATTACATTATTATTTTTTAATGTTATGATAATACCTAGTGAAGGTCAAGTTGGGGATAAGTGGTCATGCCTGGCTAGAACCACTGTCCATCATATAATCCTTTGGAAAGAAATATGGCCCTGCATAGATAGCATCATCATGGAAATATCCCAGCTTTTTTCCCAGTGCTCTCACTCCTGGAGAATTCATCCCAAGGAAGTAATTTAGCGGGAAGAACAAAGTGTGAAAGGCAGAGAGAGGTCCTTCTCCCTCTGAGTCTGTGTACTCCTTGTGGAGGGGCTGGATCCTGCTCAGCTTGTTCCCTTGCTACTGGTTCATGGTAGTCATGCAGAGAATGCCTGTTGGTTGAATATTTGACCATCATGCAGTTACCATGGACAAGAAGAGGTGATGTGGGAAGGTAGTCCAGAGCCCCCCACTGACAAGTTTCCTCCTTTGTCTTCCAGCTCCTGAAATATCAGAAAAGATGGACAAGCCACTGATCAGTCACCGCCTGATGGACAGTGACAGCAGTCTTGCTGAGGTTCCCACTAAGGCCCCCAAAGTAGGCATCCTGGGCAGTGGGGACTTTGCCCGCTCCCTGGCCACACGCCTGGTGAACTCTGGCTTCAGCGTGGTGGTGGGGAGCCGCAACCCCAAACGCACAGCCAAGCTGTTCCCCTCTGCAGTCCAAGTAACTTTCCAGGTGGAGGCGGTGAGCTCCCCTGAGGTCATCTTTGTGGCTATGTTCCGGGAACATTACTCCTCACTATGTGTTCTCAGTGACCAGATAGCTGGCAAGATCCTGGTGGATGTGAGCAATCCCATAGAGCAGGAGCACCTTCAGTGTCGTGAGTCTAATGCTGAGTACTTGGCCTCCCTCTTCCCCACCTGTGCAGTGGTCAAGGCCTTCAATGTCATCTCTGCTTGGACCTTGCAGACCGGCCCAAGGGATGGGAACAGGCAGGTAGGTTCCAAGGGAATAAGAATCATCCTAATAATAAATATAAATGGTTAACTTTCATTGCCTTCACTGTGCCAGGTTTGTTTTGTTATTCTCATAACACTGCCAAGCTCCATTTTTAAAAAGGAGGAAATGGAGACTCAGAGATGTTAATGGACTTGCTTATTGAAAGGCTCACAGCTGGTAAGTTGGGATCTGAACTGAGTTCATATGAATCTGAAACCCATGCTCTTTCTGCTATGGTAGCTGGATTTCCTAAGGGTAGAAGAGCAAAAGGTTGATGGCTTTCCTGTTACTGTTTGGAGTCAAGGAAATGAATTTTGCTTTTAGAATTGGACTTATAGGAAAGTAGCATACTTATGTGCCAGGCCCTGAGGAAGACAAGTGCAAAAAGGACAAGGAGGCCACATCTTCTGATGTCCTCTAACCCTATAAGAGGAAGACAGGATCACCATCAGTAACCCAAAGCCTATTCTTACAAGGCTAGACATGCTGCCTCCCTCCAGCCCTTTCACCAACTGTTCCTCCCAAAGCACCCACCACCTCTCCTGGGTTTGATAATTCACTGCAGTGCCCACACAGAACTCACAGATTACGGGATTTATTAGGGAAGCACCAGGCTACAATTCAAGTTCAGGAAAAAAAATGCTCAGTCTCTCTCCCAGCCCGCCATCTCTCACAGTCTCTTTCCCAGCAGTGTGTGTCCCTCGGTGTTTCTCTCAGCAATGCATGTCGCTTGCGTCTCTTTCCCAGCAGCGGCACGTCCTTCTTCCTCAGCCAGCAGTCAAAACGAGAGTTCTGCCTCTAGGAGGCCTCCTTTTGAGCCTGGCAGAGTGGCCAAACTAGCCAATCATAGCATCAGAATTCTAACCACCTGAGAGAGTGAGCCTCCCAGAACATTGCGTTGTGCCACGCCCAACAGAAATACCCCAGGTGGACAACTTTAGCAATCAGGAGCTCCTCAGTTGTTCGTGGCAAATTCCATCTTGGAGTTTACAAAGACTTATGGGTAGAAAAGCCACACTAAGTAATTTACTACACTGTACAAGCTTGTCCCAAACTTTTATCTCATTTATTCCAAGGGCTTCCTAGGACTGAGTGTATTTTTCAGAATAGTCAACAGAAGGTTTTTCTGGAGGCAGAAGGTGGTTGGCCAGAACCTCCCTAGAACAGCTAGAGCCACATGCATTTCTTGGCAGGGGGGATCTCTTACCAAGTCAAGGTAGTTTTTAATGCCGAGAGGCTATCTGCATTTTCCTGAAGGAAGAACACCAGACCCCACATGTCTGTGAGAACTTCCAACAAGGAATCAAGCCAAAGTGTCTCTATGACCAGCTCTGTGCCAGGCTCTATTGAACAGTGCAAGGAGCCTGGCTACACTTAAGTGCAGACAGGGTCACAGAACTCCCATGTGCGGACCAGCCAGGGAGCAATGAGTGACATGTGGGGTAGCAGGGCCTGGAGGAAAGAGAGCGAGTAGGCTTTCTGGAGAAGACTTTGTGGTGGGCTTTGAGTTGGGCTCACCTGATGTAGAAAGGCACAGGGAACTGGGAGGGGATTCCAGGCTGAGGAGACAACCTGGCAAAGGCACAGATATAAGAAATGAGATTTCTGGACCTCAGTTTTCTCATCTGAAAAATGAGGAAAATAGTACATACCTGGTAGGCATGCTGTGAGACTGAGGAACCATGTATCTAAAGCCTGGCACATAGTAGGTGCTCAGTTAATTTTGATAGACTAGACTGACTATAATAGTTTCAGCAAGGTCAGTGTTCAATTATCTAAGGATACCAGTGAGCCTGTACTAGGAGTTCATAGAGAGAGCACTAGGCTGTGGGGCTGGGAATGACCAGCTTGTGGAAGGCCTTGTGTTTTGGCTGAGGCCCTGGGGGGAGAGGACATTGCTGAAGGAGGCACTTCTGCACTGAGGGGTGGACCTGCAGCCACAGCTGCATATTCTGAGGCATATGCAAAACCCTATTGCTGGTCCTGACTTTCTGTTAATTGGTGGTAGAATAATTTGGAAATGGATAGTGGTGATGGTTGTGCAGCATGATGAACATAAAGAATGCCACTGAATTATACATGTCAAAAATGTTGAATTGGCAGGCATTTTGTTATGTATACTTTTACCACAATAAAAATCAAAAATCCCTACTTCTAGGTGACCCCAAACACAGGCCACAGTACTCTAAAGCACCTCTTCCAAGGGCCTATGGGGTCTGTCTAGATGAACACTTTGCTTGTGACTGTTTCCATTAGCTGGGCAATATGTTCCACTATTGAGTCAGCCCTAGTGGCTCTCCTTGAGCAGGAGACATTCCTGGGCATGCTGGACAGACGCTGCGTGGCTACAGAAGGCTTGTCTTCATGGCCTGATCCTTAGCCTGTGAGTTGGACTTGCCTTCTACTCCCAGCTCCCCTGGTCTTTGGTCTTTGGTCTTTGGTGTCCTCAGCCATGGACCAGATGTGGTCTAGATACTAAGACATGTGACTCCATCTGATTACCCTCCCCATCCATGTCCCCACAGGTGCCCATCTGCAGTAATCAGCTGGAAGCCAAGCGCACTGTCTCAGAGCTGGTGCATGCCATGGGATTCTCACCAGTGGATATGGGATCCCTGGTTTCGGCACGGGAGGTGGAGGCCATGCCCCTGCGCCTCCTGCCTGGTTGGAAGGTCCCCGCCATCCTGGCCCTGGGGCTCTTTGTCTTCTTCTATGCCTACAATTTTATCCGAGATGTGTTGCAGCCCTATGTGCAGGAAGGCAAAAACAAGTTCTACAAGCTCCCAGTGTCTGTGGTCAACATGACTCTGCCCTGCGTGGCCTATGTGCTACTCTCACTGGTGTACCTTCCCGGCGTGCTGGCAGCTGCCCTGCAGCTGTGGCACAGCACCAAGTACCGCCGCTTCCCCGACTGGCTGGACCACTGGCTGCAGCATCGCAAGCAGATCGGTCTGCTGAGCTTCTTCTGTGCCACCTTGCACGTGCTCTACAGCTTCTGCCTGCCTCTGTGCTACTCCTATAGCTACAACATCATTGACCTTGCCGTCAAGCAGGTAGTCCTGTGGCACCCCTTCATCCCCTCCTTCGTCCAGCCTATTTGTGTCAGTACAGACTCTGCACTAGATGCCATGGAAGGCGCCATGGAGCAGCCAGAACCCATAGGTCCAGTTGTACCATTGCTCTCTACAGATTCTATTCCGATTGGTCAGGGCCTATGTCTTGCAGTTCAATATCAGTGAATAAAACAAACACGAGACCCCTTCCTCATGGGCATAGCCTACTTGGTGGAGTAGGCAAAATATAGGAAGTATATTATACAGGGTATTTAAGAGGTCACAAGAGCTAAGGGTAAAAATAGGGGAGTAGAAGGTGTACAGTTCTAAAGGATGGCCAGGGAAGGCCTTGCCAAGAAGGTGATATCTGAGCAAAGATGTAAAGGAAGAGAGAGTGAGCCATGTGGTTAGCAGGAGTAGGAATGTTGTAGGCCATGGGAGCAGCAAGTGCAAAGGCCCTGAGGTGGGAGTGGTCCTGGCACATTTGAGGAACAGCAGAGAGGCAGTGTGGCTGGAGTGGCTATACCAGAATGAGCAGGGATATGGGGTGGTGTAGGCAGGAAATAAAGTCTGAGAGGTGGAAGTCCAATCAGGGAGGGCCTTGAAGGCCAAGAAAGAGCCTTTGCCTCTGACTGAAATCAGGCGCCAATGATGGGTTTTGAGTAGAGGAATGATGATCTGACTGACGTTTTAACTGACTCACTCTAGCTACCAAGTTGAGAACAGACAAGAGGAGGTCAAAAGCCAAAGAAGGGAGAACAGTTAGGAGGCAGTTTGTGCATCCAGATGAGACACAGTGGAGGCCTGCAGTTGGGTGAGGTGGTGAAGGGGCAAGTAGGTGTTGAAGGAATATTTTGAGGCAGGAGCACATGGGATTGCCAATGTAATGGGGTAGAAGACGGAGTGGTTAAGGATGATTCTGGGTTTTTGGCCACCTGGGAGGATGGTGTTGCCATCTGCTGAGATGGGGCAAGCTGCAGCAGTGAGGTTTTTCAGGAAAAGGGATTATTCACTCATTTAGAAAACCAACAAACATAGTGTTCCTTTGTCAGCAGGATTCCTGGGGTGGGGTGAGCCTTCAGGCAAGCTGATGGGAATAGAAAAACAGAAATAGGCCCCTGATGCTCCACCCTAGTTTTCTAATCCCACAGGTCCTTGTACTTAGTCCTCAACCTCAGATCTGTAAAAAAACTCTGCCTATCTTTACTTCCCCAAACCTGCTAATACCACCTCCAGCCCCTAGCCACTCCAGGACACTAGTCACCCAGCAGGGTTTAGCCAGGTACCAATGAAACAGTTCTTATCCAGCCCTTGTTCCTCCCAAATAACCCTGTAGTTCGAGTTCCTGCTTGGGATATAGGGATCGCTGGTGAGCCAGATCCTCCCCAGGCTCATCCCCTTGGAAGTCAGCCACCTCTCAGAATGTAACAGGAATGTGAGGCCAGGTCACTGCCTGGAAGCTATGGACCTCAGCCCTCCTTGCTTCCCACTGATAGCTGCTCAAAGGCCCTTGTCCTCCCTCAACTGATGGACACCTGGCATCATTGCATCTGTGGGCTTAGACATCATAAGAGAAAAGAATTCCAGACTTCAGGCAAAGAAAGAAGACACTTGCTAGAAATGAGAGGAAAAGAAAAATAACAGTCATCAACCCTTATAAAGAGTATGTTGTGTTCTATGTACTGTTCTAAGAATAGTGCGTAGACAGTGTATTATTTTAACCCTTACCTCAGCCCTTCAAGGCAGATGCTGTACTATCTTCATTTTACAGGTGAGAAAAGAGGCACAGAGAGGTAAGTAACTTGACCAAAGTCACACAGCCAGTAAGTGGCAGAGCTAGGCTTCAGATCTAGCTGATCTACTTTAGATCTATGCTTATATATCCATAAAATAGATCCACATCAACAGTTAAGTAAATTATCCCACCACTCAAGTTGTTCATTCATTCATTGCACACCTACAGACTTGGCCCTTGCCTCAGCTAGCATAGGGTGATGTGGAAGCCAGAGCCCTGGACTCTTGTCCTTGGCATCACAGATTAGAACTGAAAGACCTTGACTTTGAGCAAATCACAGCCTTGCTTTTGTCCTCAGGGCCCTTTTGATGCTTTTTGATGATATTTTCTTACCTATTTCTAAAAAGAGCCAGCCAGCTTATCAGGAGGCTCTGTGTGGCTCCCCAGGGAACTGATGTGAGCAAGGTTTGCTGCTCAGGATGAGGCGGGTCTGGGGTGCACTGCCTGAGCTCCAGGTGTGGAAGCCCCTCTCCACTGACAGCTGGGTTAGGGAAGAAGGTCACATCTCCTTTCCCTCCCAGAGCACAAAGCAAATCGCTCCTCCCTCCCTTCCTCTCCCGCCTCCAACTGCCTCTCTAAATCCTTTACCCTCCTGGATATTATGTTAACCCAATTTTGCCTTGATGCAAATACTAGGGTACAGAGGGGTGCATACAAGCTAATTCTCCCTGAGTTTCAAAGCCCTTTAGGGATACAGACCCTGGTGGGGTTGCCAGGCAACTGTTACTCCTATAGGATTAGATCACTCTCTGGAGACACCAAAGTCCTGTCATGTACAGGGGCTTAAACTTGTTCTGCAGAATTCCAGGGGTAGAACTGGGGTTGATGCATATGTGACAGCACTGGTTAGATGGAGGCAATGACTTAACACAGAACAACCCAGAACTGGGCCCAAGCCTAGATAACCACTTGCAGCAGCCACATGTCTGTAGGGTCAGTCATGCCCTTGGGTTCTGAGACTTTAGGTGCCTGGGGTTGTTCTGTGCTCAGTCCCATAACAGCAGCCTCTGTGGAAGTTCCTGTCTGATGTAAGATTTTCCCAACCTGCCCTTGGCCTTACCACTTGGCCCTCTCTGAGGCCACTTACCTGGGCCTTTTGGGTAAACAGTTTATGAAGGCCCAGGAAGTCCTTTCTCTAAGAGTTTCCTCAGACCATTGAGCCTACAGATTTCCAGGGAACATCTTATCCCAGCTATGGAGATAAACTTTGAGATCATATTTATTAACAGTATCATTACGAATCATAACAAGTATTTGTGTAGCACTTTCTGATTTGTTTGTGTGATTCACTAGAAATATATTTCAAGGTCAAAATCAAAGACAAGGTTTAACCCACACACAGTTTTTCTCTCCCCTAGCCCAAATCTATTTGTACATAGCTGCCACAAAGGGCTATCTAAAGCTGGCATCTGACCATGTCACTGTGCTCCCTCCCCTTGTCCTCAGGATGAAAGACCCTTCACGATGTGGCCACACACTTCCCAGCCACATCTGCCCCATGCCTCCTGTGACCTGTCACACTCAAGTCCCATACTGTCCCCTGGACTGACCAAGCTCTTTATCCAGGCTGTCCTTGGTCTATAATGCCCACCCTGGGACATCTTGACAGCCTGAATTATTCCTCCTTCAAAGCCCTGCCTCTGTTAAGCTTCTCTGCCTATCTTCCATTTTTCCCACTCTTACCTTTGCCATCTGCTGTATTTTGTACATAATTCTATCATTTTTCTTCTATATCTATTCAGTCACTTACTTGCATATTTCTCTTCTCTAATCCATGCCAAGTTCTGTGATGGCTGGGATTGAACCTTACATACCTCGAAGCCACTGGTCCCTAATATAGATTCTCAGGGCAGTCCACTGAGTGACTGATATGAAATTAGCCACTGTGAAGTCAACACCAGGTACCTCTTAAGAGGTACACACTGACCCCTGCTCAGAGCTGACTGTTACTCTTAGGGCAAGAACTATCTAATTACTGTACTCCAGCTGCCTCTAAGAACAACATCTATAGACATTTATTAAGCACTTACTATGTGCTAGTGAGTTTGGTTTTGGTTTTTGTGTGCTAGTCCCACTGGCATGAGAATGGCACACCGAAGGTGCTCTGGTGTTGCAGTAGTTAAGCTTTTCGGCTACTAACCGAAAGATCGGTGGTTCAAACTCATCAGCCTCTTAGTGGAACAAATGTGAGGTAGTTTGCTTCCATAAAGATTTACAGCCTTGGAAACCCTATAGGGCAGTTCTACTTTGTCCTATAGAGTCATTATGAGTCAGATTGACTCAATGGCAGTGGGTTTGGTTTTGGTGTGCCAGTCACATGCTACTCATTTCACAAACATCATCCTTTTATCCTTGTAATAACACAGCGAGAGAGAGACAGTGAGAGAGAGAGAGAGAGAAAGAGAGAGAGAGAGAGAGAGACAGTAATGTATTACTCAAGGTCTCACATCTGTCACTTAGTGATATGATCAGCATCAGATCCTAGGCCTCTGTGTCTGCAAAACTATTTTCTCCACCACTGCAGGCTGCCCCTTCTACATCCTTTCTCTCCACTTCTCTAGGTTCAGCTGAAAGTAGATACTGCCCTCATCCTAATCATCACCTGCCATTGGGGCATAGAAAGAGGCTGATGTGGTCCTCCTGTCTCTGGGTCCTTCAGCATCTAGCCTACATAACAGGAAAGGAAATCCTACATAAGAACATGCCCTCAGTCTCTCATTGAAGACCCTCATCTTTCACAAGGCAGCCAACGTAATTATACTGGAGGAGTGGAGAGCTGTGGCATCCAAATACCACTTGCCTGGCACTGGTCACTGTGGAACTTAGTACAGCACTAAGGTTTTTTTCCTGAACCAGTTAAAAAAAAAAAAAAAAAAGTTGCCATTGAATCAACTCTGACCATTGACTACCCCATATGTGTCAGAGTAGAACTGTACTCCACAGGGTTTTCAATGGCTGATTTTTCAGAAGTAGATCACCAAGCCTTTCTTCCAAGGTACCTCTGGGTGGACTTGAGTCTTCAATCTTTGTCTTACCACCAAATGTATTAGCTGTTTGCATCACACAGGGACTCTGTTGTCCAGTAATTAGATAAGAATTTCACAGAAGGTGGCCAGGATCCACATCCTTATGCAATTTCCTTGCCATCTACTGTCCCCTTGCCCACCTCACCCCACCCCTTCTCAGCCTCCCTTCAGAGGGATGC